AAAAACAGAAATGTACTTTCTCATGGAGGCCTGAAGTCCAAAATCAGGGTGTCACAGGGCTACCCACCTTTCTTTCCCATTTCTGGCTTCTAGGCATTTCCTGGCTGTGACTGCAGAAGCTTCATATCTGCCTCATGTTCACGTGAATGTCGCCTCTCCATGCCTTTCCTTCATACCACACCTACTGGATTTAGGGCCACCGCATAGTAAAAGAGGGTCTCTTTCCAGGATCCTTTGATATTTCAGGACCCCTTTTCTAAAGAAGATTGTACCATTCAACCTCCTTTCCAGTCTTTGTTCCCATCTCTGACTAGCCACCTGTCCCCCAGATTTTTAGGATTTTGAAAGGTGCTGTGGTGAAATCAGTCTACCATGCCCTTCACTTTCCCCTGCCTGAAGCCATGCAGGACAAACTTGATTCTGTTTCTCCCTGAAAGTTTTCAGATCTCTTCTTCTAGGCTGAACCTCTCTGGTTCTGATGATCACTGCTCAGAAGTGGCTGCCATTCTCCCAGTCGCCCTGGGTATGCCTCTCTGAAGGACACAGAGAGAGAAAGAATGCTGCACTTGTCCCCAGGGGCCTAGAATGAGGTCATGTCTCTTCCACTTACTGAGTAGGTGACCAAGGCATCCGTTTCTTTGAAATAGTACTGGCACTATTACAAAGTCAAGCCAAGTCATCATCACTTGCACATCCCCAAATTTAGCCTCTCTGCCTCTGCTAATGCCACTGGGATCATGTCAGGATTCTCCACTGGCTGAAATGGCTGAGTACTAAAGAGCTCTAAAATCTCTCCACACATGATCTAATTTTTCAATTCAGGAAGTATTTGTTGAGTGTCTATTAGTAAAGGCAGAAGAGGAACAAAATAAAATCTGTTTCTAAGCCAAGTGTAGTGTGGCTTATGCCTATAATCTTGGTACTCAGGAGGCTGAGGCAGGAAGATTGCCTGGGTTTTAAGGCCAACCTGGATGTGAGACCTTGTCTGAAAAACAACATGAAAAACCAGGTTTTTTTGTGGTTTTTGTTTTGTTTTTATGTGTATGAGTGTTTTGCCTACATGTATATACATGTGAATGCACCCATGCATGCAGTACCCATGGAGGTCAGAAGAGGGTATCAGATCTAGAGTTATGGGTGGCTGTTAGATGCCATGTGGGTGCTGGGAACCAAACCCAGGTCCTATGCAAGAACAGCCAGTGCTCTTAACTGCTGAGCCATCTCTCCAGCCCAGAAAGAGAACCAGTTTCTGCCAGGGTACACATGCCTTTGATCCCAGCACTCAGGAGGCAGGAGCAGGCAGGCCTCTTGAGTTCAAGGTCTACATAGTGAGTTCCAGGCCAGTCAGGGATACGTAGTAAAACCCTGTCTCAGAAAAACCAAAAGACAAAAAAAAAAGAAGAACCAATTTCTATCTTGTTAGTGCCAAGCTGATTTGATAGTTCACAGTAATAAGACCAGGCACAGGAGACAAAGGGGGGCTTCTGTACTGAAACCACCTCCCCCCCACCAGGCCGAAGTGGCAGTGAGCCTAAGTAGACTTCCTCCCCTCACTTTTAGTGCTTTCTGCTTCTATGATTTTCACCACAGAGAAGTGGTAAATTTTTTACATAACTTGGAAGTTATTTAACTTGAAAAATAACAGTGTTGGCCATTTGGTTGAGCCTAATATTAATCATTCATAGAAAACATTAGTAGGAAATACATACTTCATCCTATAGTTAGTTAATGTAATCCTTTCCTTGTTTTTTTTTATTTTTAAAAATACTTTATTGTTATTTTTAATGTGTATGAGTGTATTGCCTGCATGTATGTAAGTACACCCGTGTTGTACAATGCCCAAAGAAGTCAGAAGACAGTGTCAAATTCCCCGAAACTGGAGTTATGGACAATTGTTAGCTGCCATGTGGGTGCTGAGAATTGAACCCGGGTCCTCTGCAGGCTTAGCTCTTAACTGGAGAGCCATCTCTCTAACCCCTTCCTGTTTTTCGTTTGATGGTTGATTTTTGAGACAAGTCTTGGTGTGTAGCTCATGCTGACCTTGAAGTCACAATCCTCCTGAGTACCAGATTTTGCAAGAATTCACCAGCAGCTCAAAGGTGAGGCTCTCCTTTAATAAGTCCTTTTGTGCTATAGGATATTTTGCTGGTTGTACTTAAACGACTACATTCTTATTAAAGCTTTCCATGATTTGCTAATGTAATTCTTCATGTAATTGAAATTGGCTCTTGATTTGTATCTTACCTCCTGATAGGAATAGATTTTACCCTTTAAAATGGATTTCATTTATATATCATTTAATAGATCTATAAATCCATGTATTTTTGCAATGTGAGATGAATGTGTGATCATTATAAACAGTTAAACTGTTCAACTTTAGTGACCATTAAAATGTGAATGGAGAATAAAAGGTGAACCCTGTCCTAATTCCTGATCTGTTCTTAGCATTGCCCTGTTTGAACCTTTAACTCTAATCACTCTTCAGGTTTGTTTTAATGTTACACATACACCTTGTAGTTCTTACCGTAAAGAAGTCCCAGTGAAGTCATAATAAAGTCAACTGTTGTGAGATCCATTTTTTACAAACGTGGAGGTTCACTTTTCAGTGTGGGCTGATCTCAATTTACTCTTCTGATATATGAAACAGTTTCTGGATTTATAACTTGACAGTGGAGATAGCTTTGGGTTTGGAGAACCATTCAGTCTACATGTGTCAGCTTATAGAATAACCCTATACAGGCAGAACTTTAGGACTCCAGCAGATTCCTCTAAAGAGCCCTGTTGTTATGTCTCCACCAATGCAGTTTCTCTGCAACTGTGAGTGGCTCCCAGGCACCTTACAAAACCCTAGTACTGCGTTTTGCTTATCCTGACTTTGTTGACCTTTTTATCATCTCTGTTGGGGCTAAACCACATGTCACTGTTTATGTTTTACTGTTTCAATTAAACACAAAGTTCTGTCTTCTTGATGGGTGTCTAAAGCATTTGGTTTCCTTTAGTAAATTTTTAGTTCATGACCTTACTCACTCCCCAGTGCCTGATTCTACAGCACATCAAATTTACCTTTTGGATGCTATGAAGCCTACAGCTTCCTGAGAGTTTAACAGAAAGCTTTTAAATTATGTTTCCTTCTTTCACTTTCCTTTAAAACACTATCCCTCCAGGGTTCTTTATAGAATGACTTTTTCTTCAGGCAGTTAGAACAACTGAAATTAAGAATACCTAATAATTGTCCCATACTATTCATTTCAATAAGATTATTTTATTCTTGAGAGTAACTATATGTTGCAGGGGGTGTCATTTTATTTGTGGCCCTATCCAAGTTGCGAATGATCTTTTTTTAATTAGTGTATATTCATTATATATCATGTTGCATTTTATAAAGGCAATTCTTTCAAATATAGCATGACTCTGACCAAATTCACTCTCCCTCCCATACCCTGCATTTAGTTTTCCCCCTGTCTCCCCGCCCGACTAGTTTCCTCCCTGTCCCCAGTCTCCTTTCTGCTGTCATGCCATTCATTCATAGACAGATGGATGAATGGATGGATGGATGGATGGATGGATGGATGGATGGATGGATGGATATTTTGATGTATTTACAAAGAAGTCTAGAGACTGGAGAGATGGAGTCTAGGAGCCACAATTAAGAGGAAACATGATATTTGTCTTTCTGTGTCTGGCTTATGTTACTTAATGTGGTACTTTTCAGTTCTCTTCATTCTCCTGCAAGTGACATAATTTTGTTCTTTATGCCTGAATAAAGTTCTATTGTGTGTATACCCACAAACACCTAGACTGATTGCATAACTTGGCTATTTGGAATAGTGCTGCAGTTAACATGGACATGCAGGTATTTCTGTTCTTAGAGTTCTTCAGGATACCCAACAGCTGTTTAGCTGGGTTAGCTGGGGATCTGGTTGTTGTTGTTGTTGTTGTTGTTGTTGTTGTTGTTGTTTGGAGGACCTCCATACACAGTTTTTTGGGGGGGGGTTTTGTTGTTGTTGTTATTTTTGAGGACCTCCATACACAGTTCTCTAGCGGCTAAACCAGTTTGTGTGTCTACCTCAAGTATAAAAAATGGGCTAATGAAATGAACAGATAATTCTCAAAAAATGATGTGCAAATGGCCAATAAGCATGAGAAATAATGCCTAACCTCCTTAGCCATCTGGGAAATGCAAATGGCAGCCACATTGAGAGTTAATCTTTTTCCATCCTGAATGGCTGTCACAAGAAGCAAGCCGTGCTGGTGACTGATCTTTTTGTAGTGAAATCTGTTTCAGATGATTATACTTGTATTTGATCTTGAGAGCTGGGGGGAAAAAAATAGAATACAGGTGTGTGCTGGCTTCCTCTTTTGCAGGGGTAAGGAAAGGGCAATTGTGAGGGAAGCTTAGCCCCTAAAATGACTTCTCATCTTTTTGGAGAGTCCAGCCTCATGCCTTGCTGCCTTGGTGAGGCAGCCCACTGTGTGAAGTCTTGACTGAGAGCAGGAGTGCGGTGCTGTGGAGAATCTGCAGCCAAATAGCCATCCCTGCAGAACCAGTGACTCTTAGATGAACTTTGGCTCACATTTGGCATTTTGACTGGCCATCGTAAGAGAAAGAGAAGTCATATGTTTTAGGTCTGATTTCCTTTAATCTTGCTCTCTCATTTAGTAGAGTTAAGAAGCCAGGTCCAAGGTATTAGAAGGCATATTTGGAAGATCTTTGTCATAGGCTGCAAATTTGTGGCACGTGACAGGAAGCAGTGACTCAGCTCCTTGGGGTTGTGGATCACTCAAGCATTGATCCTTTGTTTTGTATTCAGTTTTCCCTTTTGGAAGAAGGCAGCTGTTCTGATGTGGCTCTAAGTCTGCAGATGTTGGTAGAGTGCAGTGACTGTGGTTAAATCCAATCATGAGATGTGTATGCTGTAAGAAATTTCTGCCTCTCTGAACAACTTAGAGACTGTATTATACTCCATTTTCAAAAACTTATCTTTCTTTACCTTTCCTAGATTTCCATTGTATCCAAAAGGAGGAGAGAAGTTGCAGTTTGATTATGGTGTCTACCTTCTGAACAAAAATATAGCACAGGTAAGTGACATTTCTTTACTCCTGTTTACTCAAAGTATTCACCTGTTTTCTTTATAATTAGGTATTGTAGTCAGTCCCTTTATTTCACCAGTTCCACAGGCAATGCAGTTTGTTGGCCATAGTCTTATTCTGTTCCATTAAAATGGATACAAGAAGCAGTGGGTATGAGTTGGGATGCTCCTAAATTCTAGGCACCCCTTTTCTGGGTTCTTACTTTCTGGCAGGCTTGTGCTTGAGTGTGTGGTCTGTATAATCTCTTGAATCTACAGCTTGGTTAGTGATAGCTTTCTTCTCTTAGACCACTTCTGGAGACTCATTTTGCATTCTTGTTTATGGAGTAAAAGTTTAATGTTTTTGGCAAGTCCATAATGGTCTCCTCACCTCATTATCCAGGGCCCAAAGGGAAAGACCAAGCTTATGTTCCTTCCCACCCATCCTGGATTCTTGTGGCTCTTTCAGCATCCCATCAGTTAGCATCCCACTTGAACAGTGCTTTTCCACATGCCATAGTAAGAGTATCGAATGCCTGAGTTTGTGTTTTCCTGAAAGAAATATGTAACATTTCTTAAGCATGCTTGGCTCTACTTCAAGAGGTGGACGTTCCATAAATTTTTAGCTGCAGAGGAAGACCAGCTCCAGTGCTTTCTTTTCATTTGGACTTCTGTCCAATTGCAGTGTCACATGGTTGAGTAGCCTACAGCTTGCTATTCTTTAAAGACATTGTCAGCTGTATCCTCAGACCTTTCAGTTTTATAGAATAAGGTTTGTGATGCTTTTGCTTTTATGAGCCTCAGTTGTCTTTTAGCCATATGAGTCCAAAGGCTGAACAATTTCCTTTTTCATGTCTGATCAAACCTCGAATTATTCTTCCATATGGTATTATCTTTGCTTTTCTTCCCCTTAACCAACCTCAGTTTAATGTTGGGTTTTTTTGAAATCTGGTTTTTATGAAGATCGTTATCCTTTTCTGAAATCAGATCACATTTCTAGTTTGCCGTCCTGCATTAACCTCTTGCTTCCAAACCCAACCAAGACCTGTGTGCCTGGGACCATGTTTTCTCCCTTACCTCCTCACCAGCTCCAGCTCTCCTGGGCGAGCAGCCTTACACCCAGCCTCCACCTGCGATTCACCTTTCCTTGCACTGTTCTCTGAATTGATGCTTTCCCTCCCTCCATTTTTGGCAGTATTTCAGTCAAACAGGGCTTTAATGTCAAGGCTGTCTAGCTCACACATCTCTTTCACAGTTGTGTCATTCCATGGAAAAGACCATGCTTTGACAGACTGGTCAAGAAGTTTACAAACTAAATTACATTAAGGAAGAAGTAAATTAGTAAGTAAATTTGGCAGCATGTCCAGTGAGCTCCTCTTCAGGCAGTTAAAATTAAGAATACCTAGTAATTGTTGTATACCATTCCTTTCAATAAGATTATTTTATTTTTATTTTATGTGTATGAGTATATTGCTTGCATGCATGTAAGTGCACCTATGTTGTACAATGCTCGCAGAGGTCAGAAGAGGGCATTGGATCCCCTGGAACTGTAGTTATGGACAGTTGTTATCTGCTATGTGGGTACTGGGAACCAAACCTGAGTCTTCTGTGAGAGCAGTCAGTACTCTTAATCACTGAACCATCTCTCCAGCCCTGCCTTTGACTTCTTAACTGAGCAGAGCCACAAGTGTGCTGAACTAGTGTTGTTTGAGTCTGCATAAGAAATGGGGGAGGGGACAGAGAGAGGGGGGGGAGAGGAGAGGAGAAGGGGGGGAGAGAGAGAGAGAGAGAGAATTAATCAATATTTTAATCATTATACACCCTTAGAAATCAAATAATCTTGCTCTCTGGTCTTTTTCTGTTTCTTCAAAACAGACTTCCTTGTAAGTCTTCCTTAGATTTGAAAGTATGTTTGGGAAGCATATAAAAGAAACTTCTAGGAAATTTGTGACTTTGGGGACGTTTCTTTTTGTTTTGGCCTTGATAGCATTGCTTTTTCACATTTTTAATTTGTAACGAATCAAAGAATTATTAATAATTAAGGTTCATAAGCCAGGATTAAAGCAATAAGCTGCGTGCAGCTTTTGAAGGCTTATCTACAGACACCTCTGTCAAAGAGTGGTTTGTCTTCTCGGTCAGTCTTGTTTGGACCTCATCTCTAGAGATGTGAACAAGTCGTGCCATTAAGACGGCCCCACCTACATGATTTATAAGCCATGTTAGTGGAGGTGGATGAAAGCCTTGGCATGTGTTAAAGTGCCAGAGAAAAAGGAGTGAAGTCATTTAGTACCGCATCCATAACTTGGTTGAGGATTTGAATAGTCAATAGGACCTTTCATCACAACCAGAAGTTGTAGTAAAATCACTTTTCTGGTGGAGGAAATGACAGAACTTAGTAATATTTGTTGCTTCAGGGTTTGGGATCAGTCCAGCCCACATTTTGAAAGCACAGGCTTAGGAAGACAGGCCTTCAAGCACAACTCTTAAAGTATTGTGAGAAGAGCAGAGAGCCTGGCAGCCTGCTTGCCCTCTGCACGTCCCTGCTGTCTGAAGGAGTATGTGTGCTGGACCGGGTATTGAAAGTGAGTCCAGCAGAATACTTGGTCATCAGCACCCACTGCTAATGTTGTCCAGGGTCAGCCCTGTCAGTAGGAGATAGCCTTCATTGTTGGTCAGCAGGTGATGCTATGGAAATAGGCCTGTCAGAACTCAGGCCTATGGCTGGCATCATGGCTCATGCCTGTAATCCCAGCACTCAGGAGGCTGAGGCAGGATTGCTTCAAAGCCAGCCTGGGTTATATAGTGAGTTCCAGGCCAGTCTGAGCTAGTAAGACCAAGTCTCAAAAAAAAAAAAAAAAAATTCAAAAATATTTTCAAGCATAGTGTAATTAGCATTGACTTTTTTAAAAATGCCTACAGCTGAGGATATAGCTCAGTGAAAGAATGTATGTCTAGTATTTTCAAGGCCCTGGGTTCAGTGTCCAGTACCACCAAGGGATAAAGGGTTCCACATCATTGGACTTCTAATTGAATGGAAAAAGACAATAAATAAAACAATTTCAGATTATGGTAAGTGATGTGCTAGAGCTTAATTAAATGATATAATAGAAAACTAACATGTGAGAGATCTGCTTTAAAATTCCCAGACAAGCCTTACTGAGGAAGGGATTATTGAACCTATAAGACAGGGATGATGACAGGAAACCAGCCATGCCAGGAATGAAGGGACAGAGTTCCCTAAGTTGCCATGGGAGCCACAGGAGCAAAGGCCCTGGGGTAGGAAAGGATTTGTTTATGTTCAAGTAGCAGGAGACTAGTGAGCAGGAGTACTATAGCCGAAGGGCTGAGTAGCCAGAGAGCACATCCTGCAATGCTTTAGAGAGCTTAGGAAAAAGCTGAAGCTTGGAATCATTGATACAAGGGGGAAGGCGGCATGATTTGTTATATTTATTCACATCACTCGCTGCTCTAGTGGATTTCGGGCGGTAAAAATATAAGCGAAGGTACTTGTCAGTCAGTAGACTGGGATATAAATGGAGAGCAGATCTGAAGTATATTATGGGAGATTAATTTACGGATTGTCCACGGGAAGTGAGGGGAAATGGAATTGTCAAGAATGACTTCCAGGTTTTGTATATGAGGAATAATGCTGTTTATTTAAAGAGGGAAGAGTCCAGGAGATGGAGCTGGTGGAATCAGAAAATTTTGGGTCTTTTGTGACTGCCTTCTTTTGCTTAGCATGAGTTTAAAGTTCACTCATTGGAACCATGAATCAGACATTCTTTTTTACTGAAAAACCATTTTGGCAATTAGAAGATGTATAGAGATGAACCATACTTCATTCATGAGTTGATACACATTTGGATTGTTTTGACCTCTAGGCTGTTACAAATGTTGCTGCCATGAAAGTTTTGTACAAGTTTTTATGGACACATATATTTTCATTACTCTTGGGCATATATCTAGAAGTAGAATTGCTAAGCATATAATTGTGTTTGATATTTTTCTTTTTCTTATGCTAAGAAAGTGCTCTACCACTCATCCATATACCATGTTGAATGTTTTAAATAATTGTCAGACATTTTTAATGACTACGCCATTTTATATTCCTGCCAGCAGTGCATGAGGGCTCCCGCTTCTCTGCTTTGTCAACACTTGTTACTTTCTGTCTTTTTGAGTCTAGCCATCCCACTGGCTGTAGAGTACTGTCACACTGTAGTTTTGATTTGAATTGTTTCTAAATACTGATGATGATGGACATCTTTTCAAGTACTTACCCATCTTTTGTACCCCTTCTTTGGAGATACACCAATTCAAACCCTTGCCTGTTTTTAAATTGGGTGATTTGTCTATATCACTGACTTGGAAGAGATCTTTATGTATTCTAGATAAAAGTTCCTTTTCAGGTAGATGCTTTTACAGATTTTTTTCTCTCCTTCTGCAGGCTGTCTTTTCTCGGTCATGTTCACTGAAGCATGGTGGGATTTCTTGTTTTGATGATGTCCAGTTTATCTGTTTTTCTTGTCTTGCTTATGCTTTCAATGTGAGGCAGCTTACCCTCAGTCCTGCAGATTTACTTTGAGGTTTCCTTCTGTATAGTTTTACCTCTTGCATCTAGACCTGTGATCCATTTGAATTCATTGTTATGTTTAGAGCTCTAACTATTCTTTTGCATGTGGATATCCACTTGTCCAAGAAACATGTGTTGAAGAGATTATTCCATATGACTGTTGAAATTGTCTCAACACTCTTGTCAAAATAAATTAACTATAAATGTGAGAATTTATTTCTAGACTCTGAATTCTTTTCCATTAATCTGTATGCCTAACCTTAGTCTAGCATATCTTTTTTTTTTTTTTTTTAATTCTGGTCCTGTGTATGTAGCTCAATGGAAAAATGCTTAACTAGAAGATATGAGGCCCTGGATTTAGTCCCTAGTGCCACATGCAAATTCCAGTTTCAAAAATAAGATAGGCCAATTGTAAAATTTTGGAGAATTACAAAAGATAG